ATATATATATATATATATATATATATATATATATATATATATATATATATATATATATATATTATTGTAAGGTACTGAATCTGTCTCCCAGACTTCCTACAGGTAACCACTGTTACCAGTTGTTTATTTCCACTTCCAAGTATATCCCAGCACTCACATACAGTGTGCTATTACATGGTCTTAATTCTCATAACAAACTAGTGGAATGAGTATGGCCAAAGAAACTGAGGCTCAGAGAAGTTCAGATAATCTTCTCAGTTATAGTTAATTAATTTAGTGTGTACTTTGTTTGCTCTAATACAATGTGAGAGCATATTCTACTGTCAAATTATGTTCTTTCCTGAGACAAGGCAGAATTCTAACTTGGAAAAACAAGCCTTAGTGAAACGCCTCAGACCCTTGAAATAGACCTCAATAATACCTTTTAGTAATGGAATATTTCTAAATTATTTCAAATGCCTGGAGATTTTAATGAGGAAATAAAACTGCTTTCCAGTTGACTATTTCTCTTACGTCATGAAAATGTGAGATGATGCTTAGCATGGAAAATACCAAGGTTTATTCTTATGTTGTGCTCATATTGGCATTTATTCTGAGAAGGAAAGCAACTACAATTTTTAGTAAAACACTTTTAAATGAAATCATAAAAATAATTATAGATGGGTGAAATAAAAACTATTAAAGAATAAATACTGGAGCAATTTCATATTGACAAATGATATTTATTAAAGGCGCTTTAAAAAACTAACTTGACTAATGTGGTTTGAAAAACTTAGGGCACGTTATAAGATTTGGAGACTTAATTCAGTAGCTATGCATTGCTCAGGAGAGAATCCATATTTTTCTATGGTCATCAGCTTAAAGACACATGACATTTTGGAAAGAAGTTATATTAAACCTTGATAGATTTCATGAACTAAAATTTTTAAGCTGTCATCTGGTTTTAAAGTTTACTACTGGTTGAAACTGCTTAATAGACGATATAAAAAGTATCTGCCGTCAAGATCCATCTAACCAGTTTATAGGTGGTTTGTGCCAAACGTAGTGGTTTTTTTCCCCCCAGTATTAGGGAAGGAAGCAGCCCAGAACCACCTTGAACATTTCTCTTATGTGCTGAAATGAGGAGCATACATTCAAAATATTTTGGGTAGATAGGTTTTCCCAATAGTAAGCCTCTAATACATACTGTATAACCTGTATATTTCAGAGACAGTTGTAAAATTTTGGGAAGTGCTGTAGAAAATATTTATGTTAAAAAATATTCCATTAAATTAGTAAGCATTCTTTTTAAAGCAGCACAAGAGAAAATGCCAAGAAAAATCCAACAAGGGGAATTAAATGTACTATGAGACGAAAAATTTATAGCATAGTAATAAAAGAAGCAAATAACCTCAATAAAGGAAGTCACAGCTCTTGAATTAAAATGGTGTTGCAGACATTTTGAGGGATTTTACCAGGTCTAATATGGCCTGTTCATTTTTCTGTATCTTGCTATTCATCTGATTCAGAAATTAATTTATGTTGGCTTGAATGATCTTCCTTGTCAGTAAGCACTAAATACCTCTGAAACTTACTCAATTATTTTACAATATTAGATAAGTGAGGTCTGGATTTCCATTTAAGAGCTGCTTCTCTGAAATGCTTACTATTGTTTTTTAGCCATACATCCTCTCATTGACTCACAACTCTTCCCTCATTCTCTTTTCCTTTTCACAAACCTTTACAGCTCTTTTTCAAAGAATTTCTAATATACAACCCAAACTGTAGAGTTGCATATTCTTTGTGGACTTCATGTGGTTGCATACCAAATGAACTATGTAATAGTTACTTGTCATCATCTTTTCTCGATGGAATATTAAAATAAATAATCAAGCAAATCCCTACTGAGAAGCATACCACAAAGCAAAGCTGCTTTAGGCATAATTTTACATACTGCTTTTTGAGGGATATCTAGCCTTTTTTTCAGTATGCAATTTAAATAAGTATAGGCTGCAAGTTGGAACAAGGTTGGATTCCTCCCCTTTGTTTAAGACAATTTTCAAATTTTTGTGCGTGCACTTAAGGAACTCATCCACATTTAATCACTAGGCCATCTGTGAATAGGAAAATTATAAGTGTGCTAAATTTGCTGCATTCCTTCAGATCTTAATCTTTTGTTAAAATGCTCCATAAATGGATCAAATGGACTGAAATTGTCTACGTTTGAAAAGCAATAGAGGAGATAATTCATGCTGTAGTGGTTTTATCCTTAATAGGAAGGGGATCAGTGAAATGTAATGATGAAGTGAACCTAGAGATTACTGGAAAAAGTTATACCTTTATAGTTCCTGCAGTGGTCAGTATCACTAGAGTTTTATTTATTTTGTTGACTAGGAAGAAAAATTTATTTTTAAAAAGGAAAGGCTGCCAAAACCTTATGAATTTCTGACACACCAAATAATAACCGAAATTTACTTTTTTTTTGCTTGTTAAAACAACTTAATTGAAATATATTTGACAGAACATAATTCTCCCATTTAAAGTGTACAAATTCAGTGGTTTCATATATTCACATTGTTGTACATCCTCCATCACCACAATTAACTTCAGATTTTTTTTTCCTTTGAATAAGTTCTCGTACTGGAAGCATATATATATGTGATTATATAAGAAAATACATCTCTTGGCCTTTAGTTTTAGCTCCTTCCATGGCAAATAAGTCAGTTTTTCAGTCCTTGGCAGACCATACACTTTGCAGGATTCTCACTGTACTTTTTAAAAAATGTATTTATTAAAATTATTGAGGTGACAGATATATGAAAAAGGCTCAACCTCACTAGCTAATAGGGAAATCCAAATCAAAACCACAGTGCGATACCACCTCACAACTATTAGAATGGCTATAAACAACAAGACAAGTAATAACAAATGTTGGAGAGGCTGTGGAGAAAAAGGAACCCTCCTACACTACTGGTGGGAATGTAAATTGGTACAGCCACTATGGAAAACAGTATGGCATTTTGTAAAAAAATTAAGAATGAAATTACCATACCACCCAGCAATCCCTCTTCTGTGTATCTACCTAAGTTTACCGTGTTTCCCCCAAATAAGACCGGATCTTACATTATTTTTTGCTCCAACAATCTACATTTATTCATTTATTCATGTACAAAAACCTACATTTATTCAAATAGTCATGTCTGGCTGACGAGCTTAACTGGGGCTTATGTTTGGGGTAGGGCTTATATTGCAAGCATCCTGAAAAAGCATGCTAGGGCTTATTTTGCAGGTGGGTCTTATTTTCAGGGAAACACGGTACTTTTTAAAAATCTAGATTTATTTGTCAAAATTCAATTAGAAATTTTACATTTGGAAATTTTCACTATTATTTTGGCTGTTATCAAATAATTACTGTCAGTATTTTAAAGGAAAGGAAACAAAATGTGACAATTTCTACATGATCATATAGGAAAATACATTCAGGAACACAGTAATGCCCAGTATCTTTTGTGTTTTAGGTTATTAATAAAAGTTAAAAGAAGAAAAACAATGTTTAATGATATATAGCTTTTTCTTTCTGTGTTTATTTCACTCCAGCCCAGAACTGGTAAAAAAAAATATGAAAAAAAAAGGAAAAGTTTGAATACAAACTAAAGTTTTCTCCTTCTTGTGTCTACTTCTATCTTTCTATATCTATGCTGTCAAAATATAGCTAAACATTCGCTACCCATCTGTAATTTTGAAGGGAAAGAGGAAAGAAGAAAACTAGAAAGGAAGATGATGAGAGAAAAAAGTACAAGTACATAGAATGTTTTGTTTAACTAAAGTAAGAGAAGAGGACCTAATGTCAAAAAAGATGAATACAGAAGGACTTCATTAATTCACGGTAACACAATGGGGTCTCTGCCAATTGTACTACCATTTAGACTGATTGTGCTGATTAAGTTGTCCAAAAGCTAAAAGTGTGACATATCTTGGAACTACAATTAACAAGGCTGAATCTCATTCTTTCCTTCTGATCTGTCAAAATCCCCATTTAAACACTTCTTTCATGAAATGAAAACCAAAACCATTTTTTTCAAAATAAAAGTTTTAAAGTTCTAGGGGGATATATAGTGATTGAGCTGGCAATTTCAAAGATACTGTTAAACCATTTTGAATATAAAGAATCATAGACTAACTAGATAGTGCAATTATCAGAGCAGCATTTTTCCACATTTTCATAATATTTGACAATATCTCAACTGATATCCTCCTAAAATAGTTTATGATTAATGATGGAAAATTTTGGCTTATAAAAAAGAACATGCAATCAAGTTATTACCTACAGAAGAGTCACTGTTTGATAGTTGACTACGCACCTATTAAAAGAGATGCTGTTAGCAGTTTAGGGTCATATGGACTCTTTCCACGGCCATTTTCAAAATGGGAGTCTTCCAGCTTAAAAATGTTGTCCTGTAGATAAGAAAAAGAAGGACTGAATTTATTTATAACAAGAATTATTTTAACATTCCAGTTAATCAGAGAGAGGTTTAGTACTCATGTTCACTATCAAGGGGCATTATTATTTGTGTAAACTTTAGAGATGGCAAAATAACTTAAGCGGATTAAAAACTAGCTATTACTAGCCAAATATCTACTTAGCTTGGTGATTTTTAGTAGCATTGAGCATGTTGCAAGTAATAATGTACAAATGAACTCTAGAGACAAGACATGTCATGATAAAAGTAGAGTGATCGTTTTATCATATGTGTATGCCAAGAGTTATCCTAATGGCTCTTGAAGAAAGGTGTTTTAAATTTAAATAAAATGGGTCTTTTTATTCCATCACAAAGAGAAAAAAGGCAATCCATCATATTAGATGTCTAGTGTAAACCACACTATCTTACTTTTCTGGATGTAGTTTCCAGAAAGAAATGCTAACTAACCAGAGCAGTCATTTTTCTCCCTCTTGTAATATCTATAACTGTGCTGCTTCCAAGCTTCTCAAGCGTTTTTCAACTACATTGTAAGGTGGAAGGTACCTGAAACTATCCTTATGAATTTCTTGAAGTGAGAAATATAAAACTATATGCTAGGGGAGGTGTTCCTGGAGGTATATCATGAGAAAAACAAGCACATAGATGATGCATTTTTTACCACAGGGAAATCTGATTAGCTGAGGCTCAAGTACCCCAACGCTGGAGTGAACATTTGACTATGTATAGAAATACACTCAAGGTCTGAGTAGAAAGTATGCTGGAAACCACTGCAAAAAAAAAAAAAACCTAATAAGGAGGCAACTAACTCATGCCTGACACCCTGCCCTCAGAACGTGTCTAGCTACTGAAACTTCTGTGTGACAGTAAGGCCAACGGGAGGGTGGGAGTGCGGGTGGGGGAAGGGTATTTCTGAGCACTCTTCTCAGAACCAGGTGCTCTAGGGGATTAATCAGGTCAGAATATGTATGTTTTTTTCCAGGAGCACATTAACTTGTCCACAGGCTGACATAAAATAGCTTTTTTGGCAATTTCTCTACTGGTCATGTAAAAGTATTTTCTATCTTCTTAGAATAGTAAATTAAATGGTGTTCATTTTATAGGCAATAAGGAACACTTTATTGAAAGTTTAATATTTCTGATGGAGCTAATGGCAGAGTTTCAAATTATGACTCTTAAAACTCATCTGAGTTAGGGAGGATGAGTGGAAAAAAAAAAGAAAACCAAAAGTGTTCTTTCTTTTTTACTACTGTGAGTGAGAATTACTGATTTTAGTCATTCCCCATGCTGATTCTGTATTTGGTAATTAGTTACCCCCTAGCAATGATAGTTCTTTAAAGTTCTGAAATTTACACTGTGGGATAATTTATGGGGCTTTTCAGAATTGTGCTCAGCTGTAGTGGGAAGGATAGTAATTCAGGAGGCAGGTCGGTCCAGCTGGGCCAATGATTAGCTCTGGTTCTTTGGCCACCTCTTAACATCTCTGAGCCTCTGGTCCCAAAAAGTCAATGATGATAGTTGACTTGTTTGTTGTGAAAACTAAAAAATTGAAACAAAGTCTTTCTAAAGCAGAAAAAAAAGAAAATACAAATACAAAAAACCTTATTTTATTCTATCTATACTGCTCATATTGCCACTATAACAAAATAATATAAAAATTTACTACACATTACTATTATGGTAATGGTAACTATATATTACCATTTCCTAGCATAATTTGAAAGAATTATTACTTGAAGACAGTTATGTAAGTCACCAAATTATAAACTTATTTACAAATACAAATTTATCGCTGGTACTTGAATATTAAAATTATAAAATGAAACTTATTGGCATATGCTAAGAAAAAGCACAGAAGAACCTCTTAAGAAATATTTAGCTGTACTTTGTTAAAGATTAGGAACTAACTAATCCTAAAGAAATATGCTTAATACAAGATATATACTCTACTTCCACAAATTATAAAAAATATTAAAGTTTGCATATATGATTATTTACTACAGATTAGAGGAAGCAGTGGGGAGAAGTGTTGGTGTGGTTGAAAATGTTGTTATAAATATTATTATAAATTTCTTGTCCTCACAAGACATTTTACAATACTGACAAAATTGGAGGAGCTACTCTTCAAAGTATGAGACACTTGACGTCTGGGAACATGTGTCCAAGTTAATAAGATAATGCCAAGGTAGATGAGAAGCCCTTCCAAACTTTTGTTTGATTTACAAGGTAAAGGATTAGACTTCATAGGAAGAGAGGTTACGCGTATCAGTTCTGGTTCAAGAGAAGATGAAAATCTATCCTTTGTCATGGTTTCAGGCCTTGTTTTCCTTTCCTTCTTTTTCCCTTTGGATGTGAGTCTTACCCAAATTTCTGGCATCTACCATGTCCTATATCCTCATATAATTCTACTGAAGGGTAAATAATTGAACTTTCTTTCCAGCCTAGTGATATGAGGGCCTGGAATAAATATAATTTTATTTTATGAATAGGGAAGTAAAGGACGTTTCTTACATACAAATGTTTGTATTGTAAAATTCATACCCATGACACATTGTAATGGAGTCCAAGGGTGCTGAAATCAGGCAGAGCTTGGTGTTACCCCTGGCTATGTCTTTTATGAGCTCTGGGACTCAGGCAATATCTAAACCTTTCTGAACTCAGATTCCTCATCTGAAAAACGAAGGTAAGAAGATCTCACAGACTTGAAGCAAAGATTTACTGTAATGAAGTATATAAAATAACAAGTATGTCCTTGAAAAATGTTCATTAATTTCTTTTTTTACATTGTTTTATTTATAGTTGGCACAATAAAATCATTATTTGCTATACTGATTGATACATCTTATGTGACAGTGTAAATGCCTGCCCATATTTTCATCTGTGGAAATTAGGACATATGCTTAAAATATAAGTAAATGCCTTGGACTCTGAAAATGCATTGAAAATTGTTCTTTCCTATATCTAGGCCAGAGTCTAGTTCAAAAGCTTTCCTGAAAAACATTATTAAATAAATGTATAAAAATTATCAATTGATAAGTCTACCCTTCTAATAAGTCTGACAAATTTATGGTGATTGATATGAAGAGACACTGATATTGTTCTTTCTGTTATCTTGTGAGACCTATTAGATGTCGAAAGATATTAGCCATTATAAAAGAACTTTGTGTTAATATTTTGTATATTAGCATCCTATGTTGTCATGTGTAACATCACATAGACAATTGTCCAGCTGTACTTGGAAGGCCTTTTGAAATCTGATTGCTACTCAATGATTTTCTCTTTTAACGAGTGTTAAGTAGATCACATATGCAAATAAGACCAAAAAATCCTAAGAACAATGTACATAATAAACTGCATAGTATACATGTCTTACTTAGACTGAAATTGTTTTCATTTCCTTAGTACTACATGAGCAAAAATCTAGCTGCATGGATTCTAATTGCTTTAGCAGATACTATAAGCATATCATATATGTTATTACACCTTATTTTATTACATGATTGCATCAGTTTTCAGCAACTATTTTTAGCTTTCAAGACCACTCTACTTTTTGTCTTTTGGATTTCCTGAATGGTATTAGACTGCGGTGAGGTAAGACATTAGAGGAAATAATAACTGTGCCAATGTCTAATACAAAGCCTTATAAATTATAAGCCATGGGTGACATCATGGCAATAAAGTTCCTAAATCTCAATCTTTTCCAAGTAATATATTTAGGTAACAAATACAATTTTAGTTGTTTTATTCAATGATTAAAACATATATGATGTTTGTACAGAAAAAGAGAAAATCCTACGAGTATATCTATGTGATAGAATGACCATTTTGGGTGGGAAGCTGTATAAAATTGCATCAAAATCAATAGTTATTTAAATCAATAGTATCTAAAAGTACATATTATGTTTTTACAAATGTCTCTGTCTCCCCTCCTCTTTACAAAAGACACCTTGTTTGCCAGTTATACTAAATTATCAAGTATTCCCTGGTTATTCCATGCTTTTTGTCATCTCTGCCAGAAATCTCTTCCTCTTTCTCTGCTTGCCCTCAGCTCTCCACCCCAGGGTGAATTTCCTTTACTTTAAGAATAAAATCAAAAGCCACTTCCTAGGAGAAGTCTTCAGAGACTCCTTCAGAGGCTGATGCAATTTATTAGTTTCCTTTGTGCATATCCTAATTAACAATAGTACACAGGCAATGCCTATACTGGGTGAGACTACTGGCTTCCGCAAAGAAGGGATGCATTATAATAGGATCTCACAGGAAATCTTGTGGCATGCTTTACTTTGCCCAAAAGAGATCTTTTTGTGGGTCAAATTCATCTGGAATTTATTTTTCCTAAAAAGGTGACTTTAGATTTATGCTATGCAATACTACAGCTATGAGCTACCTGTGGCTATTTAATTAATTAAAATTTCCATTCCTCAGTTACTGTAGCTACATTTCAAGTGCTCGATAGTGACATAGGCTTGTGAATACAATACTGCACAGATGCAAACATCTCCACTTTCATGAAATTTCTATTGGACAACATGCTCTAGATCCTGAATCCTATTCCCTTAGCAGTAAAGAGTAGAATTGGAAATCAGAAGGCCTCCTGGTAGAGAAAGCATGCCATCAAAGCACAATCACAGTAGGTAAAGTCCGTGAAATATATGAGGAGTTATACTAAGAACACTAGTTTAATTTTTTATGTTTATTAACAAGGGTTTATGCTAAGTAGTATTCGATGGCATTACAAATGAACAAATACATGCCCTGTATATTTTTTATTTCATTCTTTTCCATTTTAATCACTTTAATCTACTTGGGTATAAATTTTACCCATTATTCAAAGTTTAGGTCATGATACCCAGTCCACTAACTGTTCATTGATTTTCCCCTGAAGAAAACCATGTTTTATCCCCGGAAGTTTCATAGCAATCTGTTCATACCCTTGGTTATTTGTTACCTTTAGCCTTGATATTCAATATTGCATAT